TGTGTGTGTGTGTGTGTGTGTGTGTGTGTGTGGACTGAACACCCCCATACATTGTTCACCTCTCCCCCTCCTAACTGTCCTCCTGTCCGTTTACGTCCTCTTCCTCTAACCTCACTAACATCCTCACCTCATCCTTTCATCCTTTCATCCCTTCATCCTTTCATCCTTTCATCCTTTCACCCTTTCATGCTTTCATCCTTTCATCCTTTCATCCTTTCATGCTTCGGGCCAAATCCATTAAATCAGAAACACAAGCAGAAGCAGCAGATCCAGGACGCTCTGATGGCACCAAGAGATAAATAACATTTCATTTGTTTACACACTTCCATTTCCTGCTTTTCTTCAGTCATTCAGAGGAAGTCAGAGTTGAGGGTTTGATTCCTGCAGCAGCTCACTGTTGTGTTTTTAAAAACAAACCACACAACCATCATTCTGCAGCGACTCCTGGTGTTTCTGAAAACACGTCTGACTCCTCAACCAGCTGCTGATCTCCTCTGAGCTGCCTGATGGAGGAGGCGGKGCTAGAGACGTGACTCCTGCTGTTTTATGGTCACTTCCTGTTCCAGCATGGTTCTCCTAAAACTGGTTCCTCTGATCTGGTTCAGGTTCAGCTCAGGGTCAAAGTTTCAGAGTCAGGTTGCAGAAAACTCAAATAAGAATAAAAACCTGGAGGATTGTGGGCGGAGCCATCAGTCTAATTGCCACACCYGACTTAAAGACAGAAAAACAGGTGAAAATGTTGGATTTGATGAACCGACTGTTAAAATCATTTCATCACTACTTGATCTCACCTGCTGTAGATCACTCTTCGAACAGTTTGCTTCTGCTCAGACTGATGAGYTCAAGGCTAGTCTGAGCTRCCAGCCTCAGTCAGACCTCAGCTCATGGGCCCGACCCGGCCCGGCCCGGTCAGAAACAGTTGTTTATAAATTATAACTTTACTCAGAAGCTGATTTAAAGAACCTGTGACATGCATTTACATGAAATACAAAAAGTCAAAGAAAATTTATTTATATTTAAGAAACTTGGCATAAAACACACGATTTAACCCGTTTTGTCACATTGTTATATTTTGTTTAGAACTTGGCTCAGATAAAGTGAAACAGGAAGTGACATCAAAGAGGAACTCCCTATTTTTTATTTATTGAAACAAGTTTATTTGAACTCTTTTTCATCTGATAGATTAAAATAATTTAAAGAAACATCAGATTCTTCTCTACAGTCTGTTAGCTGTTAGCAACGCTCTGTTTACCTGCTGACATTGCCCTCTGACATCACTTCCTGTTTCTTCACATGCAAATATCTCAACAACCGTTCATCTCAGCGACATGAAGTTAAAAGATATGATATCAGTGTTATCTTTCCACAAAAACAAAAATGTTTATCAGAAAAACTTGACGTCACAGTAACTTTAAAATGTTCAGACTTTTCCTTCAAATATTTCAGATTGGATCCGATTCATCTTTAACGGTTAATCGTTGTATAAAATCCCAGCTCCACCCCTCCACTTGTCTGTAAAAACTCTGTCTGTGTGGACGGGCCCAACAGAACCAGAACATCAGAGCCGTTTGGTTTTTATTCTGTTAAACTTGAAGTGAAGCTGAAACATTAAAACTCCAGTTTTGTCAGAATCTTCAGCCGAGAACAGGAAGTTCTGTCTGTTTGGGTTCACATGGTTGGACTCGCCTCCTAGTGGCAGACTGAAGGTACTACAGTGTTCCACTTGAGATCCAGACCCGGTTCTTCACAAACCCGCCCCCTCCGGTTTTACCTGTTTTTTTTTTTAGTTTGATTCCAGGTTAAACTGCTCCACTGAATCCTCTTCCTGTTTTCAGTCAGACCCAGATGTGTGGTTCTGACTGGGTCTGAGCCTAAAGCAGCAGAACTAAAGAATAATTCAGGAAACCTAAGTCTAACTATAGGATTTATGAAAAAGGAAAGTCTTCAGTCTAATCTTAAAAGTAGACAGAGTGTCAGCCTCACGGACAGAAACTGGAAGTTGGTTCCACAAGAGAGGAGCTTGATAACTGAAAGCTCTGCCTCCCATTCTACTTTTAGAAACTCCAGGAACCACAAGTAAACCTGCAGTCTGACCCCCAATTTACACTACATGTGTTCCGTCTCTGCTCCGCTCCGCTCCGGTCCGACCTCCGCAGCAAATACACACCCATTATAACCAGTGAGCGTTTACACTGGCTGCGGTGAGCGGACAATGATCTGTCAAAATTACAACAGATCCTATTTTTGCCAGACGCCGGAGTCAATTTTTAAAGGTTACGTCGCATCAACAGGAAAAGAAACGACCACAACATCCGTATTTTCAAAATAAGACTTAGCCTGGATAATTTGTCGGAATAATGTCGAAACTGCAGCTATATTAATAAATATGCAGATATATTTCTACACAAATGCTGTCAGAATGTATGGTTCTGTTTGGGAAGCAGATGGAAACATGTAGCATGAAGCACATGTGTACACACATGATACACATGGATTTTATTTTGAAATCAGAAGTTTCAGAAAGCCGACAGTGAGACAGTTTCATAGATACCAAAAGCTTTTATATTGTTTTCAGCTGTTTGGAGTTCATCTTTCACAGATTTAATTATTTTTTTGCTGCAACTTCAACACTTATCACTGAATTTATTGTGGGATCTGCTTCCTGCACATCTGTCGGACCGTAGCGGAGGTGGTGTAAACTGGACTTGAAACGCACAGCTGTGACCTGCGCAGCGCAGCGGAGACGGAACRCATGTAGTGTAAATTAGGGGTGAAGCTCTGAAAGCATGAAACTATAAGATGTGAGAACTGAAAACTGCCTCCTGTTTGTTTATCATGGTTCATTTCTCTTCTCTGAAACTGTTTTTACCTGATGAACACCTGTCCACACACACACACACACACACACACACACACACACACACACACACACACACACACACACACACCTGAGCG